ATTGCCATGCAAAGCGCATGTCTGCCAAGTCGTTTTCTTCTCGAGTCATCTGCCAAAACCACTCGGCTATCCACCCATTTAGGCGACGGGGTTCAGATCCTTGCGCCAAAGACTTCATGTGTCATTCAAGCTGCTGCACAAAAAAGATGTCCGCCTTAATGTTGGCCCCGGATCAATAAACCCCCCGTGTTGATTAATTTGGGGGAGGTTCCCCTCCAAACGTGATTAATCCTCACTAAAACCAGGGAAAATCACCCCCATAAAAATAAACAGGGGTGTATTAATCCGGGGTCAACATTGACCTGGCCAGCAGGCAACTCAAATACCCAGAGGACTTCCATGGAAAAAAACGGCCTCAAAACACGCCTGGTGGATTTGCCATGGGGGACAAAAAAATAAAATTTAAACAAACGCCCATGTTTTCCGAGTGGATGTCCATGGGGGAAAAAAGTGGACATCCGATTTGTGGGTTGAGTTTAAAGGTGAATCGGAGAACCCTTCACAAGGGGGGAAAAATTACAAAAAAGACTCTAAAATGTGTGTGTGTATATATATATATATTTAAAAACCGGGTGGGGGGTGGGACGGAAGGAACCCACCTGCCCACTGCTGCCGAGCCACTGGAGCTCGGAATCGTCTTCACCCTAGCACAGTGCGCAAGGCGCTTGCCTTCCCCCCCCCCCCCCGCCCCCCCTTCAATCAATGGGTTTTGGTGACTAAGAAGTGATTCAACATGCTTCACTTGTTCAATTGAAATGTGAGTCAGGTCATATTGATGAAATATTTTTACTTGAGTTCAAAGCAGTTGATCCACTTGGGTCTGAAATCAGCTGTCAGCTTCACCTCAACAGCCCCTCAAGTCCGCGGCGCACAAACTGAGGAATGCGGTTAGGGTTTCCGGAAGTGGCCAAAACCAGGACATCTGACGGCCAGACTTCGAGCTCAGCTCGTGAACAAATGGCCCAGCCCGGCTCTGTCTCTGCCGGCCTCCGGCCAACGGACACCCCAGCCCTTTGCCAGCGGCCAGTGTTTCTCAGCCTCGCCATCCGATTCGCCATCGAATGGGCAGTTTGTGTCGCCATTCGGCCGCGAAGAAAACCCACTCGCGTTTTTCAAAACGTCGCGAGACGGTGTTTGGAAACGGGCTGCCCGGGCACTAGCTAGTCCCAAGCCAAGGATAACAAACACCATTTGCAATAGGAACCAATAGAAAGAAAAAAGAAGAAGAAACAAAAAACCAAAACTTCAAGCCAAGGATAAAGCCACCATTTGCAATAGGAACCAAAAGGGAAAAATAAATCAAGACAAACTTCACTATGGTTTCTTCAGGCTTGTGCCCAAAGGGTACAATCCATCCCCTGCATGAGGTTTCCTGGATGCTATTCAAGAGACCATTTGTCAGCTGTGCCCATGTCCCTAACGTCAACAAGTGGAACACCAAGCGGAAATCTTAGAAACACCTTGAAGCAAGTATAATTGCAGGCAAAACAAGTTTTCAAAAAATCACACCTTGAGGCAATTGCAAGCAAAACAAGCTTAAAATCAAAAGGAGGTGTTATACACGCCTTGGCTCAGTTGTTCAGTGACCCTGGAAAAACAGGGAACTCTTTTTGGGGAAGACAATTTTTAGTGGGGCCGCCACCAAAAAAACAGGGACAAATAATTGGTACCACGGAACAACTGAGTTGAAGCAAATGCAAGAAAAAAACAACTTAAAATCAAAAGGACATGTTAAACACACCTTGAAGCAAATGCAAGCACACATGATTAACACCTAGGTCCTCCAGTAGGGAGGTTAGAATAAGTTGGTACCCTTTCTTTTCTCTGTAGTCTATTTTAGACATGGGGAACCCTTCTAACCAAACAAGAAACGGTGAGACAAGGCCCGAAAGGCTGGACCTAGACACCTTCCGCCGGGCATTTTCGCTCCCGCCTCCGGGGCGAATAGCTTCTGCATCTCCAGGCGCTTGCGGCAGGCCCTGGCTACGGACCGGCCGACGGGCCGACGGACCGACGGGCCGTCTGGGGGAGGCCAGAAGTGTCCTAAGTTGGAATCTGGGTTACCTGGGCGGCCCGTTTTCGGATCCCCCGCTAAAAGCGACTAACTTTTAGTGCAAATGGAAACCCAACCACTAAACACTAAAGGTCTAAAAAGCTAAGGAACCGGATGGCTGGGAGCCACCAAGATACAAAAATGCGGAGCACGGTCCCTGCAACCTTGGCAATGATTTGCGAGTTGGTTGGGGTTCACTGTAGCTCCTGTTGAAGGTGTGGTATCATGAACTGGCAATTATGTCCCAATCATCTTACCAACATGTTACATGCCGCAGTGCTGCTCTTGGCTATCGTTTAAACCCGGGTGTCCCCTTTTTACTGCTCATGTACACCAATTGATTTGAGTTCTATCGGCCATAGCGTAGTCCACGCCTCCGACACAACTGATCTGAATGCTTCGCTTTGGCACAGCCAGCTTCTTCAAACTGATACCTGAGACATATATTCCAAGCTGGGGCCAAAGTGAGCTGACCCCTTTTTTCACGAACCCAACCTCCAAGTTGTGTCAACGAATATAGCCCTCCATTTGCTTAAGCACCCTGGAAGAAATAAATGTGTATATATATATATATGTGTATGTATTTCCAGTAATGATAGATTCCCTTTAAAACAAAAAGGGGGAAATACAAAATGTTCATTTCAGCAAATGGAAGTAGCGGCACAATCAAACAGCCGTGTTCTGGTTACACATGCAGAGCTTCTGGTGAGCTTACGGCAGCCCCGTGGCCTCATGACCGGGTCACCTCTGGAAACTCTCCCCCCCACCCTGCGGCTGAAAAGGTACTGTTCATGGGCCATAGTCATGTACTTTTCAGGCTGAGTCTATTCTAATCTTGGAAACCCTGCCGCATTTGGCACAACCCCAGCTATAGATGGCTGGAGCAAAACTGTACCTTGGGAGTGCACTTTTGGAGGGCGTGTCAGCAGTCCTTGAATGATGCTCACATCTCAAAAACCATAAATCAAACTTGCTCATCAATCTACAGCCGCACACAAGCGGCGCACAGTTCGCAAGCCAACCGCTGCGGCCCCTTTACAGGCTTTGAGCAAGAGGTTGTGAGATTCCTGCATCCCTCCCACCCCCATCCTGTCACCACTATCAAAGCCTCACCCCTTAAGTGGCAGGCTAAAGGAAACATCCAGCTGTTTCTGACTTGCCCCCCCAAACCAGTACAAAAGTCATGACCCGCGGCCTCAAACACCAAACTTGCGCCCATCTCCACCCGAAGCCCTCCGGAGACCAAGAGCCCGAGACACCGAGGCCGAGCGATTCCCTCAGCCATCCATGGCGACTTTGAGGCCGCCTGTTCAGACAAATGGCGTGGACCTCCGAGCCGTGGAGCTCCAGCACCTCGCGGCTGCCCGCGGCCTGGTGGAAGCCGTCCACGTTTTGGGTCACCACCATCTCCTCGGATCCACTCGATCGATCGACGCAGTTTTCCGCGTGCGCGACGATCGACGCGTCGCGACGCGAAAGCGATCGAAGCGCGTCGGCCGCGCAAGCGCGGGAAAGCGATCGACTGGAGTTCAGCGGATGAGGGGGGGGGAGGGGGGGGGGTTGGGTGTTTGGGGTGTTTGAAGGCTGGGCATTCCCAAAAAACGGATGCAAAGGCTAGGGAGTAACTGGTGGATCTGAGGAAACCCAAAAACGAAACCAACTAAAAAGCTTGAAAGCTAAGGAACCGGATTGTTGTGAACCATCCTTCTTGTGCGGTAGTGTTTGTCCTTTTCTGCTAGTTCTATAGGCAGGGAATGAGGGGAATTCGAAATAAAAAATGACCCGTTTGACACAACGACCCAAATTTGGGAAAAAAAACAATCTTGGACACTTAAGAATGGCAAGGGAAGAGTTCAATAAGATGGGCGAAATCCATTCCGCGCCATCTGAAACCATGGTTGAAACCATAACGTTTGTTGTGATTCACAGAGGAATCCAATCAAAACCCAGGGCTTCTTAGGTCCATGTAGCATGGATGGCGTTTGCCTTCGTCAATCACTCCCCGGCTCTGTTGCCTGAGCCTCCGGGCCACACATCCCTCCTCCTCCAGCTGAGCCAAGGCGCGGTGCCCATCATTCGGGCCTCGGTGACGCCGTCGGCTACGGGCTCCGCGCGTGGCGGGCACGGGGGGGGGGTGTTGCCTGGTGCTGCATGCTGCCTGGAAACGACACGAAACGAGAGAAGGCTGGTTGAGACAACTCATGCGACAAAACCCAAAACCCCACCGGATTGCCTCTCCCTATCCGCTTTCGAAACCAGACGACCGATCCATCGGCGCTCACTCGCACGTTGCTCGGAGGCTTTTCCCGGCACAGCGCTTCGGCAGCTCGCAGGGGAGCCGCAGCGGGGGCCGCTGCACAAAGCACCACCTGGCATGTGCCGAAGGGGGGGCCAGATTGGAGTTCGTGCTAGGCACAACAAAAGCCCAACCGTTGGTTCCCCTGTTCGAGGAACACACCCCGAGTATCGCAAACCTCCGAGTGACCCTGGTGGCCAAATTGCCAAATTGGAGATGGGGCCGCGTCAGAAGTTCCGAAATTGGGGCCTGGTGGGGATGCAGAGAACCAGCTTAATAATCTTGCAGCACCAAACCTTCACTTCGTTGCGGAAGCCCCTCAAAACGAATCACAATCGTGTTACTTATTGTATCGATTTCAGAGATTTTGTTGTCTGCAAGGAGCTGAACACATGAAGCGATATCTGCCGGTGATGTCGAACCCTGTTGAGAAAGATTGTGGGCTTGAGCGACGGATCATGGAAGTAGGCTAAAACTGCCCATATTATTCATTATATATATATATATATCATATGTCTGCTTCCTGAAGCATTCGACTCAATCTGTGCCTCACACGTGGCAAGGATCCATATACTCAACTGCCAAATTCAACTTATGTGCTTGGTTCAAAGGGCTGGCCATCTTCCAGCAAGGCTGCCAGCGCGCCGCGTTCTAGGCGCAGACCTGACGTGGGGCGGGCGGCTCGGCTTTGTCGCTCGGCCACTGCCAAACTGTACAGAAGAAACAACTCCAAATCTAGCGAAACGGAGAATAGCTTGTAATACTGCCATCATCTCAAGGCGTTTCAAGGATTCAACCTGCTTTCACGAGAATACACGTGATTTTCCCAGCATATTCCCCGCAGAAGCAAAGGCAAGTACAGGCGTCAAGGTAACAATCGCCCACAAACACCCTACCCCCAACACAGAAAACCAGAAGCAACTGCCTATAATTGGTGACTGGCCTCATACCCATTGGTCGGTTCCTGTGGACCCTGAAAATCCAAACGCAAACCAAGAGCATTGGTCTTGTTTCTTGCATAGTATGTGGTTGCGTGGCAGGCCTCCTTCCTTTTGTTGGATGGCTTTGGCTTGATAGTTTATGCCATAAACATGCCGTAAACTTGGACTTTAGCGGTCCATGTTTTTGGCACTTTCTCCCAGGTGTTTGAATAACTCACAGTGTCGACCCCGGATTCGAGTAGAAATTTGAAGATTTACGGGGGCTGTTCCTCTCAAAAAGGGACACCCCCAATTGCACCTCCTCCCACTAACACAAGATCTGACAGAAGGCCCTAGCAGAGAATCCTTGCAGGGAGGTCGGAGGGGTGTAAGGGGCCACTTCATCAGCTTGTGACTTGTTGACCCCAAATAAATAAACTCCTGTTGATTGATGTGGGGGAGATTCCCCTCCAAAAGTGATGAATCCAATATTTCACCCAGGGACATCCCCTATTAAGAAACAGGGGTTGATTCTCATCACGTCAGCCTGGCCGCCGCCCCGAGCCGCCGCATTGTTCGCGGGCCTGTGCCGTCGCTGAGAGAGTTGGCTAGAAGGGGACCTGAGGCGTTCAGCCCAACCCGAAGTGCACCACTTTTTTCTAAGGGTTGATAAATTCCATTCTTTTCAACCATCGTTCTTTCCCAAAACCGGATCCGTTTTCCCTGGGTTTCCAAGGAGGTTTTCTAGAAAGATTCGGATCCCTGGAAAGAATGGGGAAGGTACCCCTAGATGTTTGCCATCCTTCGCGAGGTTGAATGGTTCTCAAACTTCGCAAACCCAAAATGGCGTGAAAGGTGTGTGTGTGTGTGTGTGTTCTTTCCCAAGCCCACAAAACAATTACTGCCCTTCTCGCCATCTTTCGTATGTGACTCTCAGACGTTACATGGTGACGCCAAGAATGACCTTCTTTCACGGCTGTCCGCCCTTTGCCTCGGACAGTAACCGAGGAAGTTGATTAGATCACTCTAATGCACGAACTGCTGGGGACCAAGAGAACATGTGTTTGTCCCTTACATGTCCCTTGCTGGGTGCTCAGAGGGAATGACCCTGAAGATTCCCTTAAGTCGGACATAGGGGATGGTCAGGGAGCATTCCAACTTCCCAGCAGCAAGTTTCGTGCTGAACCTCCTCCCGTGAAACGCTCCGCCTGGCCGCCCTGCGCGTCGACTCTCTGCTCCTAGGCATCATGCGGTAACCCACCCGTCTCCCTGGGCTCAGGAAAGCAACAGCAAGGCTGGCGCTAGAACTGCTCAGATCAGCAAAATGATGCACCCGGATCGAAACATGTCAAAGCATGATGAGTTCATGCGTGATTTATGCTTGCCCTGCAACAAATGTACTGAACTTGCCTGCGTGATTCTATCTTGACTGATTTGACGTGGCTTGGTTTGGAGTCTTTGGTGTGCGTCTTCTTGTTGGCTTGCTTATTCAGTTTGCTTCAGCTGCATTGCATTGTCTGTTTTATGTTGTGTCGTGCGGCTGATTGCTTGGTTGCTTGCTTGCTTGCCTGCTAGCCTGCTAGCCTGTCAGCCTGTTAGCTTGTTCGTTTGTTTGTTTGTTTGTTTGTTTGTCTTTTTTGTTTGTTTGTTTGTTTGGTTGTTTGTGTATTTGCTTGTTTGTTTGTGTGATTGTCTGTTTGTTCGTTCGTTCGTTTGTTTGTTTGTTTGGTTGATGTGTTTCTCTCTTTTGTCCGATGGTTTGTGTGATTGTTTGCTTGGTTTGGTTGATTGTTTGCTTGCTTGTATGGTCGCTTGTTGCTTGGTTTCTTGTTGCTTGGTTGCTTGTTGATTGTTTGTTTGTGCGGTTGTTTGTTTGTTTGTTTGTTTGTTTGTTTGCTTGTTTGCTTGTTTGGTTGGTTGGCTGGTGGGTGGGTGGGTGGGTTGGTTTGCTTGCTTGTGCTTGATTGCTTGCTTTGCATGTTTGTTTGATTGCTTGATTGTTTCTTTGCTTGATTATCTGTTTGCTTGTTTCTGTGTTTCTTTGTTTCTTTGTTTGTGTGTTTGCTTGCTTGCTCGGCTGGCTGGCTGGCTGGCTGGCCGGCTGGTTGTTTGGTTGTTTGGTTGTTTGGTTGTTTGGTTGTTTGGTTGTTTGGTTGTTTGGTTGTTTGGTTGTTTGGTTGTTTGGTTGTTTGGTTGTTTGGTTGTTTGGTTGTTTGGTTGGTTGGCAGTTTGGCTGTTTGGTTGTTTGGTTGTTTGGTTGTTTGGTTGGTTGGTTGTTTGGTTGTTTGGTTGTTTGGTTGGTTGGTCGCTTGGTAGTTTGTGTCTGTGTGTGTGATTCTTTATTGTCTTCCTTCCTGGCTTCCATTATTTCTTTATTTCATTATGCATTGATTTATCTATGTTCCGTTATTCATTTTGTTCTTCCTTCATCTTGCTTTGTTTATCTGTGTACTTACCTATTCATGCATTTACATATCTACTGGTTTAGTTACTCCATTTTCCTTTCCGCTTTTTCTTTATGTTCATTATCTTATCTCGTTCTTTCTTCCCTTCCTTCATGAATAACTCGCTGACCCCATCAAAGAAGGACAATAAGCCAGTAACTAGCTAGAAGTATCCTCCAGCAAATGCCTGCTGGGTCCCGTTTGCACAGATGGGGCAGCCACAAATGCTACCCAACATGGCCGTCTTAACGTTCAAGCGCCTGTTTCTAACTCCTGTCTCATCTGAACTAGCCACTTTGCAACCTGCCAAGCAGCGGCAGCAGCGGTAGTCTTGCTACATTGCTTGCAGGCAGCCGCGCAGCCCAACACTTGGAAGGTGGTTTTCCACTGAAAGCAAGCGTCGTTCCTGCGAAGAGCAAAACACACTGTGCCTCCACATGCCGCACTTGCCATCTGCCATCCCAGCATTTTAGGCGGCCACTTTCCAACTTGCAAAGGGCGTGGCCAAGTCTGAGCCTTGTCCGTCTCTTCCAGGAATCTCTGTATTGAAGGTGTGAAAGGACGGAACCACCTGAGCGGACTCCCATATCACCGCCTGTAGCCACTGTGCAACCTACAGAGCAGCAGCAGTCTTCCTGATTCTCTGCTGCCAGCTGCAGCAAACACTTGGCAGCCGGCTGTTCACCGAAAGCAGTTCAATTGCCTTTAGTTTGGGCAAAACACTCAGGCAGGGCCACGAGGCAAGCTTTGTGGTTCGCGCATCTTCTTTTGAACAACTACTTAGATTCACCCTAATTACTTAAAACTACAATGTTCTACTAGGAGGTTCCCCAAGGACTCTTGGGGCTCTTGGTGACCTTTTGCGGCGTGTGGACTTGAAACGAGGCATCCTAAACTACGGGCCTCGCCATTGACCATGGCTCGACCTTGCAAAGTCGCTTTTGCTCACTCGGGTTCCGCATGACTTTGCCGAATTTTCAAGCAAACGAAGGAACAGGTCACAAGCCCAGAGCATTGATCCGATTTGCCTGAACCCGACAATGATCGCTATACCCTTGCACGACTCTTCCGCAGACTTCCGCCTTTCGAGCTGCGGCAGAACCTGGCTTCTGCAGAGCGCCAAGTAAACCACCTCTTCCGCCGAGCTTTTCGCGGAACAGTTGCAAGGCCTTTCCTGGACGTATCGTAAGCATGCGCGCGCAGGCTTCATGCAGGATGGACATCGCCTGGGTCCGGGCTCCTCAAGGCATCCCTAGGGTGAAGCGCGTGAACCTGAGAAACATCCCGTGTCACAGCTGCAACAGTTCCAAGCTGCCAAGAGGTGGTCTTGCAAAGTTGCTTGGCAGCTGCAGCCAACACTCGGCGCCCGTCTTTTTAAGGGAAACAATCGTCTGTACTGCGAGTACCACTAAAGCGGTGGTGCTCTGCCATCTCAACAGGCATCGCTGCATGGAAGGTGTGCAAAGGCAGCAAGCACCTAGCCGTCCTGTGTCACTTAAGCCTGCAACCACTCTGCAACCTTGGCAGTCTTCCTATGTTGCTGGCTGCCAGCTGCTTCCAAAACTTGGCAGCTGGTTTGCCAGTGGAAACAATCGTCTTTCTAAAGAGCAAAGCAAACGCACTATGCCACCAGTCAATGCTGAGTTTGCCATCTGACATCTGTGGAGAAGCCTTTATCGAGTCATGGAAGTGTTGCAGGTTTTCTCGGCATGGAAGATATGATCAGACAGGGACTTGAGAAAATGCCACACAGCGGTATTCTTGCTGAGCTGCTTGCTGCCAGCCGCAGCCAACAGCTGGCTTTCCACTGGAAACAATCGTCGTTACCCTCTAGCGAGCAAGCGATCTCGCGCAGCTGATGACATCTCAATGCTTTGCACAGCCTCTATCGATTACTGTTCGCCCCCGTCCAGGAAATTATCAAGGCATGGAAGATGTGGAAAGACAGGGACAACTTGAGAAAACTGCCATGTCACCTGAAGCTGTAACCACGTTCCGACTGGGAGCACACAAGCACACTGCGCCACCAGAAAAGGTCTTGTTCGCCATCTTCCATCTCAATATTTTAGCGCATCCGCTATCCAGTGTGCAAAGGGCTTGCACGGGCTTCAACCTGCAGGATGGACATCCTCTGAGTCGCATCCATCTCTGGAAGGCATCCCAGGCGAAGCACAGAGAGACAAAAGCGAGCTGGGCGTCCTGTGTCACCTGAGCCAGCCACCTGCAAAGCTGCTATTTGCTAAGTTTCTTGTTGGCGGCTGCTTCCAAAACTGGGGCTGGAAACAGTCATTACCCTCTAGCAAGCAACAGCGCCATCTGCCATCTGCCACATGCAACCAACTTGCAGCATGGGCATGCAAGTCTGAGTCCTGTCCGTCTCTTGCAGCCAAAAATGCGTGGGAGATGTAAAACAAAGGAACCACCTGAGCAGACCCCCGAGTCACCCGAACCCAAATTGCAACCTACCAACACTTTGCAGCCGGCTTTCCACTGCAAACAACTGTCGTTACTCTAGCAAGCAACCGCTCTTGCGTGACATCTCAACATTTCGCGCAGCTGCTAACCAATGTGCAAAGGGCGCGCGCTTGCTTGAACTTGGAAGAACATCCAAGTCCGAGTCCTGTCCGGCGCACGACGTCCAACCCGTCTTGCTCAAAGGCCTGCAAGGAATGCGCGGAGGTGCGTACGCGAAAGCAAACTGGTTGGGAACCGTGCTGACCAGTGTCACCTGATCTGCAGCCACTCTACAACCTACCAAGCAACCTACCAGGCAACCTACCAAGCAACCTACCAAGCAACAGTAGACTTGCTGACTTGATTGTTGCTTGCTGCAGGCGAACTTGGCAGCTAGGTCGCACTGAACCTCGCCTGCGAAGACAATACCACAGTCTGAGTCCTGTCCGTCTGTTCCATGAAGGGTGTGAGAAGACGTGCGCCGCCTGATAAACCTCCTGTGTCACCTGAAGCTGCAACCAATTTGAAACCTGCCAAGCTGCGGTTGCTTTGCCGAGTTGTCTGCAGTCAGCTGCTGCCAACGTGTGGCCAACGGTTTACACTAGAAACAGCCGTCGTTACCCTCTAGCGAGAAGCTGTTCTCCAATGTGACAAGAGCGCGCGCTGGCTTCAACATGCAGGACGGACCTGCAAGCCTGAGTCCGGTCAGTCTCTTGCAGCCAAACATGCCTGCAAAATGTGAAACAACAGGAACCACCTGAGCAGACTCCCGTGTCACCTGAACCCAAATTGCAACCTACCAAGCAACAGTAGTCTTCCTAAATTGCTTGCTCCGAGCTGCAGCCAAAACTTGGCAACTGGCTTTCCACTGGAAACACCCGTCGCTACTCTCTAGCAAGCAACTGCTCTTGCACGCCATCTCAACATTGCGCGCAGCTGCTATCCAATGTGCAAAGTGCTCGCGCTTTCTTCAACTTGCAGGATGGACATCCAAGTTCGAGTCCTGTCCGTCTCTTCCACGCAATCTTATCTGGAAGGTGTGAAAAGACAAGAGAGCGACGTTCAAAACGTCATGTTCGAATCTAGGTCCGCAAGGAACTCTGGCGCGAGGTGCGTGCGCAAGCTTGTGCGGGCGGAGGGGTAGCTTAAGCGCCCACCCACGCCACTGACCTTACGCAAGACGCTTAGGGCCTTAGGCGCAACATGATTCCTTGTGCAGGGGGCCCTTATCACCCCAAGCAACCTACCAAGCAACAGTAGCCTTGCTGTCTTGATTGCTGCCTGCTGCAGCCAACACTTTGAAGCTGGTTTGCGCCGAATCTCTCCTGCGAGGATAAATT